ATTCTTTAACCAATACCAGATGGTTTTGAGGACTGCTGCTTCATAACAGTGTGAGGTCTGAAAGTTCTATTTCCCCCTTTGTCCCTATTTCTTTTCATCATTTCCTTTGATATTCTAGATCTTTTGTTTTTTCAAATGAATTTCGTTATTATTTTATCAAGTTTTATAAATTTCTCCATGGTGATTTGATTAGTATGGCATTAAACATACAACTTAATTTTGATAGTATTGTCCCTTTTATTATATTGCCACAGCCTAGCCCCAAGCATTGAATATTCCTCCAGCTACTTAAGGAGAACTTTATTTCTTTAAGGAGAACTTTGTAATTGAATCTATACAAGACTTTTATATGCTTTAGTTAATCAATCCTCAGATATTTTACACATTGTAGTTATGAGATTTCCCTTTCTATCATTGCTTTTTGTATTTTGTTGTTATTACATAGAAATGCTGTTGATTTTTGAGGGTTTATATTGTAGCCTGCAACTTTGCTAAAGCTTTTAATTGTCTCCATTAGTATCTTTGTTGATTCTCTATGATTTCCCAAATAAACCATCAAATCATACGTAATTAGGGATAGCTTTATCTCCTCTTTACCTTCTTTTTTATTTTTAAATTTTTTTATTATTAATTTTTAAATTTTTATTAATTTATTTTGAGTTATCAACAATCACTTACTTAAGCTTTTGAGCTTTAAATTTTTCTCCCCCTCCCTCCCTCCCTCCCTCCCCAAGACGGCACCAAATCTGATATAGACTATACATATACATTCCTATTAAACATATTTTCACATTAGTCATATTGTAAGGAAGAATTAGAAACAATAGGAGGAACCACAAGAAAGAGGAAACAAAACAAAACAGAAGGGAAAAAAAGAGCAAATAGCATGCTTTGATCTGCATTCAAACTCCATAGTTCTTTCTTTGGATGTGGATAGCATTTTCCATCATGAGACCTTTGGAGATGTCTTAGATCCTTGCATTGTTGAGAAAGGCTAAGTTTATCAAAGTTAGTCATTGAACAATGTGGCTGTAACTTCACTCAGCATCAGTCCATGCAAGTCTTTCCAGATTTTCTGAGTTAAGGCTGCTCATCATTTCTTATATCACAATAGTATTCCATCATATTCATATACCACAACTTGTTCAGCCATTCCCCAATTGATGGGTATCCCCTCAATTTCCAATTCTTTGTCACCATAAAAAGAGCTGCTATAAATATTTTTGTACATGTGGGTCCTTTCCCCATTTCTATGATCTCTTTGGGATATAGCCCTGGAAGTGCTATTGCTGGGTCAAAGGGGTATGCACATTTTTATAGTCCTTTGGGCATAGTTCCAAATTGCTCTCCAAAATGGTTGGATCATTTCACAACTCCGCCAACAATGCATTAGTGTTCCAATTTTCTCACATCTTCTCCAGCATTTATCATTTTCCTCTTTTGTCATGTTGGCCAATCTGATAGGTGTGATGCAGTACCTCAGAGTTGTTTTGATTTGCATTTCTCTAATCAATAGTGTTTCAGAGCATTTTTTCATATGACTATGGATGGCTTTAACTCTTTACTTTCTTTATGCCTTTGATTTCTTTCTCTTGTCTTATTGTTAACATCTCTAGAACTATATCAAATTAGAAGAGGAAGAGTGAACATCTGATTTGCTTCGCTCCTGTATTTATTGGGACAGGTTCTAGTGTATCCCCATTATGTATGAATCCAGGTCTTCTGATGCCAAACAGAGCAGTCTGTATTTTGCTCAGTAGCAGTAGGGAGCCACTGGATTTCACTGAGCAGAGGAATATAAGCATGGTCAGATCTATGGTCCTTCACTACACTTGGGTTAAAAAATAATCTGCTTTACAAATACAAGATGGGACAGCATGACCAAACAACAGTCTATGTGAAAAAGATCTGTGCGTTAGAGTGGACTGCAAGCTCATTGTGAACCAGAACAGAGGCAAATAGCTCCAAAAGTTAATGCTGGTCCAGAGCGCAGGAAGTGGCAGATAGACTCTGCCCTACATACCCAGTGTCTTGTGCTCAGTTCCAGTTGCCATGTAAGTACATTGATCACCTGGAGACTTCTAGAGGAAAGCAACCAGGAAATTGAGAGGCCAAGAGGGTGTGTCATTGGAGAATCAGGAGCAAGGGCTATCAATCTTTATTCTGAAGGAGACGGACTTCAAAGGAATACATCTGTCTTCAAGTATTTGAAGAGATTCAACTTGTGCAGAGTGGCACATTATGGTTGTACAAGAGGAAAACCTTCCTACCACCTGAAGACGGTCTGACTCAGGAAGAAATGGCTTCCCCCTTACTGGAGGTCTTCAGGCAAAATCTGGATAGCTGCTTAATGGGAATGTCATAGAGAAGATTCTTGGTAAGCTATGAATTGAAATAGATGGTCTTTGAGGTCCCCTCCAAGTCTGAGATTGTGTGAAATATAAAAATTGTGGCTATAACTCATTTTGGGGCCCTATTCACAGTCTCAGCCATGGAGTTGGATCTAGGGAACTGGCCCCAGTCAACTTCTCCATCATTCCCTAAGCTCCTTTGGTCTTGGACTTAACCTGGGAGAGACAATTCAAAGTGCCCTTGGCCTTGGACTTGAAGAGAAAGAGGAGGCAGGAGATACTAGAGAAGATAGTGGTGAGGTGGAGTCATGACCCGGAGAAGAGGAAAGAGCAGAAGCAGTCACAGGACAGAACTCATCCTAGGGAGCTATGGGAGCCAGCCAACAGGAGTCTAGGGGAACTACTGATTTGCAATGCCTGGGTTGGGGAAGGCAGGCAAGAGAGACGAAGCCATGCTGCGATTAATAGCATCCAGCCGTCCCCTCTTCTCTGTCTCCTCGGGGAAGCCGTTCTTGTGAGAACCAGTGAACCCTTTCATCTAGAAAAACTGTCTCCCTTCTAGCTAATGGTCAACATAACCAGCTGTTTATTTAGATTTAAGGGAGATTATTTTGTGCTGCTGCTAAGCAACCTTGGATGAGGGCAGGAGGGCGCTGACTGTCCATGCTCCATATTGTGTGAGTATGTCAGAAGGACAGCATGGTGTCCAGTGTGCATTGCAGGTGCCATGGCTATTCAAGGAGGCCAGCAGAGCCACAAGCCATTCACCTGTGGTGCTAGATTAACTTAGGCTCACATGGGTTGGGGAAGAAACTGACATGGAGAGGAAATCTGCATTTCAGCTCCTTCCTTCAGAGACCAGAAGAGAGTCTAGGACAACCTGACTCCTTTCTCTCTGGAAGCTGGCAGCCAGGAGACCAGACTCTCTTTTCCCTCCATCTTTCACCAGCTCCACTGCCCCTCATGAAGGCACAAGGCATTGAGTAACCAATCTCCACCAATGGAAGAGTCCTATGCCATTGGCCCTTTGAGCCACGGGTTACAATAAACTAAATGAATTAAACTCTCATTCATGGCGGTCCCCTTGGGTTTTCAAAAACTATTCTAGTGAATGAATGAATGAATGAAAAAGAAATAGGAATTAAGTATGCTGGAGCTACATATACATAAGTAAACCTCCTGCCTCAAGGAGCTTATATTTTAATGAGGTGGACAACACAAACATGGGCATTGGGGTCGGGGAGGGGTGTTTTGATTTGTAAAGTTATAGGAATGGTGAATGGAGCCATGGGGCAAAGGATATTGACATTTCTTGTCATTTCTTAGAGCGAATAGTATTCCATCACAATCATATACCACAACTTGAAGAAGGAAACTTTTAAGATAATAAGTAGATGAAAAAAATAAAAATAACATAAAAGGATTTCATGAACAAACTCTTTCCTTCATCATTTGTTAAGTGCCTACTATGTGGCTGGCACTGTGCCAGGCGCTGGGGAGACAAAGGAAAAACAAAACCTTCTCTACATTTAAAAGAATAGTGAAGCCGCCATATTTGGACTCTATTATCCTCATCCGCATTGTATTGTTTGAGAAAGTAGAAAGTACTGTTATGTCCGAGGAACCCAGTGGCACTGATCACAAAGTACTTGGGAGGCGGTAATGTACAGGAAGATGGGAAAGGTGGGAGGGGGCCGGGGGAGCAGGTTAGGAAGGGCTTTGAAAGCCAGGCAGACGATTTGATATTGGGTCCTGGAGGGGCTAGGAGCCCACTGGAGGTTATCCAATGGGGAAGGAACTGGGAGGGACTGGGTAGGTAACCCGGTCAGACGTGAACTTTAGGAAGGTCACTTAGACAGATGAGTGAGGGTAGGCTGCAGGGGGAGAGCCTTAAGGCAGGCAGACCCACCAATAGTCCAGGTGGGAGGGGATGGGGGTCTGCATGAGAGCGGGGGCGGGGTCAGAGGAGACAAAAGTTACGAAGGTGGAAATGACACGACCTGCCAACTGGTTATGGGGGGTGACAGTGAGGAATCTGGGGTAACGCCTGGGCAATGAGCCTGGCCATAGGGAAGCCAGGAACAGGGGAGGGTCTGGGGTAAAGACGACGAGTTCAGCTCTGGACACGAGGTGAAGATGGAAGCGGTGAAGGGGTCAGGCTTCAAAGGCTGCCCAGAGGGGGAGGAGGCGTCAGCCCAGGACTGCCGCTTCCCCCCCTCCCCGGACGGGAGGATGATTTTGTGAAGGGGAGAAGCTGAAGGAGCCAGGCAGCGGGCTGCGGGAGCTCGCTTAAATCCAGCTCGCCAAAAGGACTTCCAGGAACCTCCCAGAGCTAGGAGCCAGCCTCCGCCTGCCTCAGTTTCCTCCTCTGTAAGATGGGGATAATGACAGCACCTCTTCCACAAGGAGAAATAACTATCTGTAAAGTGCTCAGCCCGGTGCCGGGCACATAGTTGGCGCTTCATAAGTTCTTCTTTCCTTCCCCCCCCCCCCCCCCCCCGGCCTCTGAGATGCCTTGCCGGGTCTGTGATCTATGAGCCGGGAGCTTTCTCTTCTCCCCCAGCCGCGCCCTAGGAGCAGAACCCGCCCCTTCCTTCCTCCCTCGCTCCTCCCCCCTCCTCCAGGGGAGGGCGGGCCCTCTTAGGCTGGAACCGGATATTCGGTTGGCAGCGTCCGCCCGGCCGGCAGAGGCCGGGACTCCCCAGGCCTTGGAGTCCTTCCAGCCGGGTGGCCCGGACCAGAGCGAGGCTCGAGCCGGGCGCGGAGGCCGCCGGGAGGAGCCGCCATGGGGCCGCTGATGGCCCGCCTGAGGCTCGGGCCGCGGCCGGCGCCGCTGAGGATGACGGGCGGAGGCTGCGGGCGGAGGCGGCTCGGGGCCGAAGCGGGGCCCGGGCCCGGGGCCGAAGCGGGGCCCGGGCCCGGGGCCGAGCGGCAGTACCTGCAGCGAAGCATCGTGCCCACCCTGCACTTCCAGCCGAGCCTGCCCAGGTACCGCGGCGTGCACGTGTTAGGCGCCTCCCGCGGGCGCCGGGCCTCGGTCCGGGCCCCTTCTCCGGCCACAGGCGCCTAGGGGCGGGGCGGGTCCTAAGTGGGTGAAAGGTCACAGCCACCCGCGCCTCCCTCTCCCCGCCGGCACGTGCGGTCAAGTCCTTGGACGCCGGCCTCTTGGCCTGCGGCTAAGGCCAGAGGTCAGAGGGCACGTTTTCACCCGCTGCGGGTGGAAAAATAAAGAAAAAAGGGCAGAGGCGTGCGCCCCCCTCCCCCACCGCAGACCACGCCTCGGTTCGGGAGGCCCTTTCACCCCCGGCGGTGTGCTGAGTGTGGGCCTCCCGGAGCTGCCCCGGGACGGAATCAGAAGAGGGTCCCCGGCGTCCCGGGCTCCTCCCTCGTGAGCCCCTCGTGGACCGCCGGGAGGCAGGACCTGACCTGCCTGACCTGTCGAGTGCGCCTGACTTGGGGGATGTGAGAGGATGACTAATTAAACTTGCTTGGCTTTGGTGGGAGTGAAGGCAGCCCGCGTCAGATTGAACCTCATTTAACGACGATGGCCAGGAGTGCAGCGTGTGAATGAATGATTTCTCTGTCTTTGACGTGATTTTGGCCATGAGGAGCCTTGTTGGTCTGAATTAGAATTCAGGTTTTCTCTGAGACCTGAATCTACGTGTAAGCATAATGATAAAACCTAGATTTTTTTTTTACCTCAGTAAGTAATAAGAGCTGATAACCCACCTCATTAAGGTGTCTGCCATTTGGGATTGCTTTACTTGGCCTGGGGAGGTCCAAATGATGTACTGTCAGGCCAATCAGAAGGAAGATGCACCTTGGTTTAAAAGGCCCCGACAGCCCTCTGATGTTTGGTTGTCAAGAGGGACCGATGACCCACTCTGTTGGTTACTGCTAGCCTAGCTAGACTGATCATGCTCAGAATTTTGTCTCTCAGAAGGTCTGTCATGACACTCATCTTTTATTATCAGTTTGCATATCTTGCTTGAAGAATTGCATCAGTTTACCTTTTTGTTAAATTTCTAACGTGACACACTGGGGGCTTTCACCTCTGCTGGCTTCTAAATCTTCACTGATCTCCAACCCTCTTCACTTGAGACGAAGAGTGTCACTACCTTTCTGGTCCCTGAGCCTGCTTAGCTTTCTGCAGACCCCCACAGCACCCCATCCCTAGGTACCTTTTGTTTTTCTACCACCATGTTCTCTACTCATGTTCTACCAGTGTTCTCTACCATTCTGACCTCCGTTCTCTCTTTTTTTTAAAATTAATTCTACTGCATCACTCCAATGGTTCTGTAATTGCAAGCTTTTGGGCATTGCTTCTGGGTACCGAAGCTTGCTTCAGTGTCTTTCCCTAAGTTTGACCAACATATTGAGGTCAGGGATCATTGACCAGGCTCCTACATACAGGCTGCCAACAGCTAAATTAAAGTTTGTTGATGGTCTTGAAAACTGCCGTTTATTAACAGCCGTCTATCTACAGCTGTGGCAGAAGCAAGTGGGGAAAAGACCGAGGCCCATTTGGGGCTGGCTAAATAGTCCCCCTCAAAGTAGCCATCTTTTTCATGATGGACTGCTTCTCCCCTTTTTGAGGCGGGCCAAGACGGTAAGGATTAGATGATCACTTAGGCCACTGCCAGCTCTGTGGCTTTTGACCATATAGCCTTTGTTCTGTGAATTAACCTCTTTTTGAGGCAGAATTGAGTGAGTCAGGAGACCCAGATTCCAATACAGGCTGTACTCTGTGCCACCCATGGGATGCTAGGCAAGGCAGGTAGATGGGCATAGGTGAGGCATGATTGCCCAAAAAAAGGGTCTTGGGGTGTTAGTGGATTGTAAGCCTGATAGAAGTCATTAGTCAAAAAAGCTGAGGCCACGGCCCTCTCTTGGGGGACCCCCTTCCCCCATTTTTGAGAATCTAGAAAGGGACCCAGAGGTCAGGGAGTTTAGCTTTTCCCACCTTGTTTCCAGTGGGGATGTTGTCGATGTGAAGGGGAGGAGCACCTAGAAAGACTGAGAGCAGAAGCAAAGCAAGCTGTGCCTCTGAGGGCTTTGCCTTTTACTGGGGTCCACAGGAGAGACGTGCCCAGGGAAGGGTGATACAAGGTAGGGAGTGCAAGTGGAGGAGGAATAAAGTCATGGTTCCAGAGCCAGGAGGGAGCTCCGAGGGCTAGATTCACTCCCTTGTTTTACCCCTGAGGGAACTAAACCTCCAAGCCAAAATGCCAGTCCAGGCCCTGGGCTTCTCAAGTCCAGCCCTTTTTGTTTTCATGGCTGGAGCTGCCTCTTCATAGATTGGGGTGGGGGGTAGGAGAGATAGAGTTCCTGTTTGTCAGGTTCGAGGACATCTTTATGGCTAATTACAACTTCTAGGGATTAGACGGACACACCCTGTGCCGTGACAGCCAAGCTGAGCAGAGCCAGCTGGCTTTCTAGTTTGAGAACCTGCCAGGGTCACGTGGCACTCAAGGGTTACTGTGGAGCAGCCCTTTTCCTAACCTTAGGCTGGTAACAAGGCCTGGAAAGCTGAGCGGGATATCCATTGTCCAGCGTGGAAACCAGTCAAGGACACTGGTATTAGAATTCTGCCAACAGTAAACACCTGCTGTGTGCTAGGGCCTAGAGATGCAAATAGAAGCCCCAAATGGTTACTACCCCCGAGGAGCTCACCTTCCACTGGCCTAGGGGTATACAGTATGGATACAAGTAACTACAAGTGCTTGGGGGGAGCTTTGTGCCCCCTATTGTTGGGGAGGGTAGTGACCTAGACCTGGAGAGAAGACTGTTCTGTTCCTGTGCAGTGTGCACGGCAGACTGCCCTCTCAGGAGACCCTCTTGACTGAAGTTGTCTCAGGTACTGGCGCTCAGAGCGCTCGGCCCTTGGCTTTGGGATGGTTGTGTAGGCGTTGCTCCCATTTTACGAAGGGAGAACATTTACAGGAGAGAAATAGAGTGACTTGCTTTAAGTCCTGCAGGCTGGAGCCCAGGATTTGAACGCAGGCCTCCAGATCTCAAGACCAATTCAATCCAGCAGGCATTCATTGAGTGCCTTTATGTTTTGTGTACTGCTTTAGGTACTGAGAATACAAACAGAAATGAAATGGCCCCTGCCCTCAAGGAGCTTACCTTCTGTGGAGAGGATGTGCTATGCCCAAGATAGGTATACAAGCTAGGGAGGGAAAGAGGCAAAGGACAGATCAAAGGGCCCCAAGACTATTTGAGGAGAAGAAACACCAATACCCATCAGGAAAGGCTGAAGGCTACACAAAGGAAGTGGGACCTGAGCTGAGCCTCGAAAGCCGAGGGGAGAGCATATTCCAGCTCTTGGACAGAGCCGCCCAAGGGCGTGGCAGAAGGAGGCTGCAGAGGAGGGGATCTGAGGTAAAGCGGGAGCTGTCCCCTCTACTCCAGACTTCCAGGGCCCTTATGTGCAAGACCACGTGTTCTCCCAGAGACAAGCGAGTTATGCCTCCGGAGTATTGTTTTAGTTATTGCAGGAAGGATGAGGAGAGAGGCTGACTGCGATTAGGAGGATAACTGCAGGGGAGGGGTGACTGTACATGGAGAGACGGGGGCTGCTGTGGCATTATAATCCACAGGAATGAGCAAGTGACTGGGTTATGGGAGGTGAGGAGAGGGGAGAATTGGAAATGCCTGGGAGGGCCCAGGAGGGTGGTGGGGAAGGGCTGTTCTAAGGGAGAAGCTGAGTTTATTCTGGCCACATTGAGTCTGAGAGGTGGGTAGGCCTGCTTTCAGAGATCCATCAAGACAGAGTCTTTGTGGAACTTCTTCCTTTCTAGTTTTTGCAAAGAAATCAAACTGCCAGGATCTGCTTGGTTACTGTGGGTGGTGGGTACAATTACTCTTCTCCATCTGAATCCCATCTGGCTGACTTGGAGTTCTTTCTTTCCTTCAGGCTGCCTATTCCCAAACTTGAAGACAGCATGAAGAGATACCTCAGTGCCCAGAGACCTCTTTTGGATGACAGCCAATTCAGGTAAAGACCCATGACCCAGAAGAGGCTGTGAGAGAGAAAAAGTCCAACGGGAAGGTGGCCCAGGGCTACAGAGCCAAAGGTGAATTGTTTTTCCCTTGAGAAAGAAAGCTGCCTTGTCAGAGTCTGCTCCCTGGCACCACCTGGCTGGCTGGCCCAAAGCTCCTACCTGGGGAATGTGCATTTTATGCTCTCCTCCATCCGTGGTGGCCAGAATGGGAAGACGTGGACTTGAGCAGAGACAGAGGCCAGCACAAACCTGGGATGTCGCTCCCCCGTGGTTCGGTGCTCCCATCCGCGCGTGGAGAATCTCCCATTTCTGTCCACGAGACAAGGCCTGCCTCTCCAGCTGCATCTGTGGCCTTTCCTCACTTCCACCTCTCAGGAGCCATGGGCTGTGTGGCCTTGCCTGATTTCCTCCTTTCCCCTTCCACCCAGCAGCAAGGGTTCTGTCTGTCCTGCAGGGCCCCTAGAAGAAGGTTCCAGTGTTCTTTGCTTTGTATCCTCCTTCCCCTCAGTAGATGTCATGTCCCAGGAGAACACTGGCTCCTTGCATCTCCATTACCTAGGAGAGTGCTTTGCACACAGTAGGTACTTAATGCATGTTGAAGTGGTTAAGAGGGCCAAGAGGCCAGTGGGGTCAGGTCAAGCTGAACCTTAGAGAGATTTCTGTACTGGGTGAGGTAACGAAGTGTTCCGGGGAAGGCCCTGCACTTTGTCAATTTAGAAAACAAACTTTTGATTTTTTAATCAAGTCACCAGCAATCGCAGACTTGACTTAGGGTTGAGGAGCACTTGAGATGACATGCCTCTTTACGATCCACGTGCAGCATGGGTCCTGCTGACAAAGTCCCTGATAAGGGAGGGGCACGGAGCCTCTAGCTCCAGGAGGCAGTCTTCTCTATGGGAGGACAGCTCTGCTCGGTGGGCCAGACGTGGACAAGAGGTTACTGGCCTGAAGCGAACCATGGCCTCTCGGGCCTTGTCCAGGCACACCTCTTAGGTTAGATGAAGCCTGGTATGGTGGGTGGCTTAGGGGATCCACCCGAGTCCGGCTCAGGAGCAGGGACGCCGTGCCTCGCTATGCCTCGGCACATCCATACCCTTTAACAATGCAGTACCCAGAATCCAACACAGTCTCTGGCTGTGGCCCAGTTAGGGCAGAGTTCAGGGACACTCCCACCTTCCTGGTTCTGGGTACCGTCTCTCTCAGCGTAGCCTAGGGCAGCATGAGATTTTTCCACTGCCATGTCCCCCTCTTAACTCCTACTGAGTTTGCTGTTCACTAGGCCTCCCAGATCTTTTTCACAAGAAAAAGCCTCTTGCCTTGCATTTGTGAAGTTTATGTTTTGAATCCTCATGTAAATCGTTACTTTGACCTCTATTAACTGGCATCTCGCTTTGGCCCACGTTGTAGCCTTTCGGCTTCAGCTTCATGCTGTCCTCTCCAGCTTCAGGTCATACCAGTGTGACAAGCATGTGATCTGTTCCTAGAGCCAAGTCACTGATCAGCATGTTGAAGAGGATGCTCCAGGGACAGGCGCTTGGAACCCCCACTGGAGACTTTCCTCCAGGCTAACGTCATCTCTTTAAGGAGCACTTGGGGGCCAGGCCTTCAGCTCACTCCTCTCCCAGATTCACCAAACTGTTCTGTCAGTGAGCCCATGTCTCCACTTTATCCTGGACAAGGGCAGCATGAGGCTGTTAGATGCTGCTCTGCCAGGCCTTCCTTGGCAAAACGGAGACATGAGGTAAGTCGCTGCAGTCTGGGCTTGGTGATGTCATGTCACCCTGTAGTGGCCACAAGGTAGCTCCTTAATAATGCCTGTTCTGACGTCACCGAGATTTACAAGTCACTTTGCTCATCTGTAGTCCGCAGACGCCCACCTGCTTCCCTTCTGGAAAATCAGGCCGACATCTCCTCTCCGGTCCTGGGGCACCTCTCTTTTTCTCCCAGCCTTCCAAAGATCACCACAGCAGCTCTATCAGTCGATAAACACTTACTAAGCACCTTCTGGGTGCCCAGCAGCGTGCTAAACTTGGGCACACAAAGAAAGGCAAAAGACAGTCCCTGCCCTCAAGGATCTCACAGTCTGATGGGGAGATAGCACAGAAGAAGAAGCTGGAAAGGTGGGGTGGGGGTTGATGTGATCTTGCAGGGTGATAAGATTAGGGTGAAGTCCAGAGGTTCAGCCAGTGGGACATGATGAGTCCAGTTTGCCTACTCTCTTAGTGCTCTGGGAGTAGGTGACTTGAGCTCAGTGTAGGGAGGCAGGGAGGGGCTGGAGGATGGAGCTCTGGATTTGGAGGCAGGAGGGGCCTGGCTTAGAACCCCAGCTTGGTCACTGACTTGGTGACCTTGGCAAGGCAGTTCACCTCCAGGGAGAGCCTGTATTAAGGTGCTATGCTAATGTTAGCCCTGGAGTGAATTATCTCAGAAATGGGGGTAATAATGGCCTTGGGTACTTTCTTTGTAAACAGTAAAATCCACCGAAATGTGAGCTCTCCTTTAGTCTAGCCTGATTGGGGTGTGCAGCTTCTCCTGTGCCCTCACTGTCCTGTGGCCTGATGCTTCCTTCTTGAATGTCTCAGGAGAACAGAGCAGCTCTGCCGGACCTTTGAAAGCGGACTCGGCAAAGAACTCCACGCACGGCTGCTTGCTCAGGACAAGCAGAATAGACACACCAGCTACATTTCAGGTAGGCTCGAGGGAAGCCTGACTCTGAACACGCCCTATCCCCGTCCCCATACAGCAGAGTGAGGAACAAATCCATCTTGCCCTGGGCACCTTGTGACCTGAAGGCAGGCCCCCTTCAGGATTCTGGTCCTGGCAGAGAGGTCAGTGGTGAGCCGAGGTCGCTGCTGGCTGAAGGGGAGGCTCCATGGAAGAGGAGGGACCCTGTGTTTGGGCACATGTATAACAGGAAAATGGACTTGGGCCCAGCAGTTTCTTTGTGTGTGTGCACATCAAAATTGTCCCTTAGTTTGCAGCTGTGGCCCCTATTCGCAGTTTTTCTGTACTTTAAAAAAAAATAGAATGTCCGGGCTGGAAGGAGACCATTCCTGTGCAGGCCCTTGGTCTTACACAAGGGCAGCTGAGGTCTAGAGAAAGGGAGGGACTGAACCAGGACCTGCAGTCAGTTCAGTGACCCTGCCGATCCTGGAGCCCAGGTCTCCCCCCTCCCTCTCCAGCACTCCTTTCATCAGGGCCTGCCTCTCGGGAAGATGGGAGTGCGCCCTTGGTGCCCGGCTAACGTTACTCTGTTATATTAGCTCACCACAACCCTGAGCAACTGGTTACTAACCTCATTTTGCAGACAAGGAAACTGAGGCTCAGAGAGAGACAGTGACTGCCCCATGGCAGGCATCTAGCAGGTGTGAGAGCCGGTGTTTGAATCCATTCTGCCTGCCCCTGCCCTGCTTTTCATCGTGTCCCCATGAGTGAGAGGGGCGACAGCTCCCATGGGGCTCCGTGACTTGTTCAGGATTGCCCAGCCAGGAGCTGGGAGACCTGGGCTGGGGCTTTGTGACTGGGTGAGGAATCCCAGACTTCCGGCTGCTTGTTGTGCCCTTTGCCCCCTGCCCAGAAATCAGTTCACACCTCGTCATCTCTGAAGGGGAGTCCTTGTGGTTTTGCTGTAGCCAGTGCTTTCCTGGCTCTGGATTGGGTTCTAGGAGCCTCCCCCAGGCAAGGGGGCCAAGTGGGCAGGGACAAGTGGGGCATTACCTGTGCTAATTCTGTTTTCTCAAGAACCAGGGAAGGAAAAACAGTGAGGATGGAAAAGAAATACACAGGAGAAGAGCCAGAGCAGAAAGATGAGGCAGGAGAAAAATGATGAGTGCAAAGAGAGAGGGAGAGCATCAGGTAAGGCCCTGGAGGACAGGAAGGCCACGCCAGCCAGGACCCCAGCATGTATGTATGTCAGTGACTTCAGCGCCTCCTGAAAACGTCCTCCCTCAGAGCAGCTCACAGGACCCTCTTGGAGGCAGCAGCCTGGGGGGCAGGAGGGCGGGAAAGAGGCTCAGAGCAGGGAAACTTGCCCATCGTCATAGAGCTGGGACTCAGACCCACATTCTCTCCTCTTTGTCACCCTGACCAAGCTCCCTTCCTCCGCCAGCTCCAAGTCCAGTGGTGTTCCCAGGGTATCCCACACACCGGCAGTGGCCAGGTGGACTCCTTTTACAGAGGACGGGCCTGCACCTCAGCAGAGCAGTGCCCTTGGCCCCAAGCCAGTGAGGCCTAACACCCTGATGGAAGGGCATGTGCCAGTGCACCTCCATCATTAGGGAGCATGAGCATGACTGCTTTGGCCTCCCTGGTGATGAGGTCTGGAAGGACTCCCTGAGAGGAGGCATCAGGTTAGCATGGCACAAAACAATAATAACCACCATATTTTTGGAGCACTTTGCAGTTTATCTTCAGCAAAGCTTTGAGGGGGATGGTACAAATTTTGCTGTCCCTATGTTACAGATGAGGAAATTGAGGCCTCAGGAGATGCAGCTAGTAAGTGGCAGAGCTGGGCTCAAATCCAGTTCTTCTAAGCCCAAGTTCATGGCTCTTCCTGCTTTTCTTAATTTAGCCCCACCACTGGCCAAGTGGTAGAAAATTGTCCACGTTGTCCTTCGTGTGACTAGTTTAGTCCCTGGCATCTAACCTTGGGCAGTTAGGCACTGAAGGTCACAGGGTCATCGTCAGCCTGCACCTTGGCCACACTTAGGCCCCGTGAAGGGGCTGAGCTGCCTACACATCCTGCACCTTTAGTGGGCATCCGAGGATGAGGGTGGGGCAGGAATCCTGGCTTCGGTGGATGTGGGAAGACAGGAGGGACCAAAGAAAGGTGGGAACAGAACTGCCCAGAAATAGCACCTTGGATGGATTCCAGTCAATGGAGAAGTGTCTCAGGTTCCCGTTCCTGTAGTGCTGCATTTTGTTTACAATAGATCTGTGAAATATAAAGTTTAATATTTTCTCATTTCACAGATGGAAAAACTGAGGTCAAGTGAGGACAGTGACCTGCCTGGGGTTACACAGCAAGTCAGAGTCAGAACTGGGGCTCAGAACCCAGGATCCTGACTGTACAGCTTCCTAATCTTCTTTTCACCCTGAGAAAAATGGAGATCTCCCAGCAGTGACCACGGGCAGGCGGGCCCTTCCCTCAGCAGCCATAAGGCTGTGTGGCTGCTGGGCCACCAGTTGTGACTTAGGATGATCCTGCAGTGAAGTGGTACCCCATATGACATTGTGCCCAAAGTCCTGTTCTGACAGGCCCCGAGCGAGGCATTGGGCAGGTTTCTAGCCTGGGTGCAGCGATCCGCCGGCATTGGGCTCTTCCTGACTGCCGAATTCTGGAATGGGCTTAGGTTACGCTGTAATGGGGAAGTGCCCCATTGCCAGCCAGGGACAGCAGCTATTTCTCTTCTGAAATTTATAGTGTTTTGTTTTTTAAGAGTTAGGGGGGGAAAAAAGAGTGGGACAGAAACTTGGATCACCCCCATCATTTTACAGATAAGAAAACTGGAGCCCAGAGGGAGGAGGAAACTTTGCTCAGGTCACCCAGAAAGTGACAGGGGGATTGGAACCCAGACTCTCTTTGGTGCCAGCATCCTGGAATGCCACAAAGGCACCTTCTCTCAGGACAGGTCTGTCTTCTGCGGGAATGATCAGTGAGTGAGCTGAGGAGTACAAGTTGGCCCATACTGGTTTCTGAATCCAGTTGGCTTTTTACACGGATGTGCCTCATTTCAGGCGATAGTTCTTCAGTTTTTCAGATTTGGGCTTTGTTGGGATTGACCTTCCTTGCCTCATGTAGACCACAGTCCCCCTTCCCTGGTTGAATTGTGTGTATTCAGTTGTTTTCAGTGTCCTACTCTCCATGACCCCATTTGGGATTTTCTTGGTAGAGGTACCGGAGTGGTTTGCCATTTTCTTCTCTAACTCATTTTACAGATGAGGAAACTGAGGCAAACAGGGTTATGTGACTTGCCCAGGATCACACAGCTAGTAAGGGTTGGGCCAGATTTGAATGCCACTGAGCTGCCCCTGGTTGAATTACTATAGGCACATCCCACACCCTCCTTGGGGCCACATTGGTGCCGAGCCTTCTCACCGTGGCGTGGCTGCTGCTCAGAAAGCTGACCCACAGTCCATCACTGAGCCATGCCCTTGAGCCGCCGGGCCTGGGTGCACCCAGGAGTGCCCCAGAGGAAATGGCCTCCTTCCTTCGCGGTTGGCCTCTAACCATCATTCTGACGCCAGTGGTTCATCTGTTGACCCTGTTATCCCAGCTGCCTGATAATTCATGAATCCTCACAAGTTGTTGAGGAGCTCTCATTGGACCTTGGACCTTATGAAACAATAAAGAGCCATTTTGGGTGTACTTCTATAAGCATTTTCACCTACGAGCTTTGCTTATATTGACCTTGGAGTCCTAACATTTGGGCTTGTTCTCATCCAGGACCCTTGGGGACTTTTTCAGTCACCTGTGCACACTGGGGCGTGCCTATGTGCAGGAAAGAAACTGATTGTTTTCCCCTCAAAGTGGGTGTTGTCAGACAGTTGTGTACTGGCCGTTGCACAGTTGTGAGCCTGCAGAGCACGCTGACTGCCTGCCAGCAGTCTGGGAAGCCTTCTTGGTGGCAGGCCCTCACTTGTTTGGCAGGTCTTTGTACCTCTCTGATAATTTTGTCTGTCTCCCTTCTCCATGACAGCAGGGCTCCTTTCTCCCAGTACCAAGCACCACAGTCTGCACATTGTGGATACATCATAAATACATGTGTGAGTGTTCTAGAATGACCCTTTGTGCTTGTGACTTATTATTTTAAATATCTTTTTAGGTCCCTGGTTTGATATGTACCTATCTGCCCGAGACTCCATTGTTCTGAATTTTAATCCATTCATATCTTTCAACCCTGACCCAAAGCCAGATTATAACGACCAGCTCACGCGAGCGACTAACTTAACTATGTCAGCCTTGCGGTTCATGAAGACTCTTCGGGCTGGCCTCCTGGAGCCCGAGGTTTTCCACCTCAACCCTGCCAAAAGCGACACCGATACCTTCAAGAGACTCATCCGCCTTGTCCCTCCAGCCCTGGCCTGGTATGGGGCTTACATGGTCAATGCCTACCCCTTGGATATGTCGCAGTATTTTAGACTTTTCAATTCCACTCGGCTGCCCCAGCCTGGTCGAGATGAGCTTTTTACCGATGAAAAGGAGAAGCACTTGTTAGTGCTGAGAAATGGGAATTTTTATGTTTTCGATGTCCTGGATAAAGATGGGAACATACTCAAAGCCGCGGAAGTCCATGCTCATCTGAAGTACGTTCTGTCTGACAGCAGCCCCACTCCTGAGTTCCCTCTGGCATATCTGGCCACTGAAAACCGAGATACCTGGGCAGGGCTGAGGCAGGAGCTGCTGAATAATGGGAATAAGGAAACACTTGGGAAAGTGGACTCGGCCGTGTTCTGTCTGTGTCTAGATGACTTCCCCATCACAGACCTGGTCCATTTGTCCCACACCATGCTGCATGGAGATGGCATCAACCGATGGTTTGACAAATCCTTCAGCCTCATCGTAGCCAAAGATGGGAATGCTGCTATCAACTTTGAGCACTCTTGGGGCGATGGCGTCGCTGTGCTGCGAGTCTTCAATGAGATGTTTAAAGATAGCACCCAGACCCCTGCCATCACACCCCAGGCTCAGCCCACGCCCGTTGACTCCTCCAGGGCTGTGCAGAAACTCCATTTCAGATTGAACGAGACCTTAAAAGCCGGAATCGCCAAAGCCAAAGAGAAGTTTGACTCCTCCATGCAGACCCTCACTATCGACAGCGTTCAGTTTCACAGAGGAGGCAAAGAGTTCTTGAAGAAGCACAAGCTCAGTCCTGATGCGGTGGCTCAGCTCTCCTTCCAGATGGCCTTCCTCCGACAGTACGGGCAGACGGTGGCCACCTATGAGTCCTGCAGCACGGCGGCATTCAGACATGGCCGCACCGAGACTGTCCGTCCAGCTTCCGTGTTCACCAAGAAGTGTTCAGAGGCGTTTGTCAGAGAGCCTTCCAAGAACAGCACAGACCAGCTGAAGGAGATGATTGCCCAGTGCTCTAAGTACCATGGCCAGCTGACAAGGGAGGCTGCAATGGGTAAGTGTCCCCCACGATGAGGCTCATCTTGCTGTTGGGAGGGAGAAAGCAGGCCAGAGGAAGGACTTCATGTTGGAGCTGTCCAACAGGAATAGGTGGCCTCCGCTGGTCAGGAGCTCCCCATCGCTAGAGCATAACTCACTGGAGATGGGCTGGAGGCAGGGCATGACTGGGCTGCTAGTGGACTGCACAGCCTCTGAAGGCCTCTCTGAGCATGTTCCCTCCCATTACTAATTGCTTTAAACAACCTTTTTAGGTTCAGATTTTTGAGCTGTGCTTTTGCCATCCCGCTAGGACAGACAGGTTGTTATTGGAGAATCAGGTAGTGGGTACATCGGTCACTGTTTGCCTTCTGTCCCACAGGCCAGGGATTTGACAGACACTTGTTTGCCTTGAGATACCTGGCCGCAGCTGAAGGCCACAAGCTGCCCGAGTTGTACCAGGACCCAGCCTATGGGCAGATCAATCACAACATCCTGTCTACCAGCACCCTGGCCAGCCCTGCCGTGAACATCGGGGGCTTTGCCCCTGTTGTTCCTGATGGCTTTGGCGTTGGCTACAGAATCCATGAAGACTGGATTGGCTGCAATGTCTCCTCCTACCCAGCCCGCAATGTCAGGGAGTTCCTCCAGTGTGTGAATAAGTCCTTGGGAGACATTTTTGATGTCCTAGAAGGTAAACCTGTCAGAAGTTAGCAGGAGAGGTTAGGGCTCTTTCAGCACCTAGTGCCTTTCTAGTGATAACTGGGGAAGCAGGAGTTGGTAGGAACTGTTCTCTGAGCTTTAGAATCATGAAATGCCCGAGTAACTAAAATGGTCATGTTTTAACTCTAAAATCATGAATCTGACAAAATGAATGGGTTGTTTAAAGTAGGATGGATTGCACAAATTCAACAGTGAATCATGACTTCTGGGGGCTTCTCTGTGGGTGGGATTTGAGCTGGATGGAGGAGACATATTCACTGTCTCTCCTTGAGGAAGAGGCTGCCAGCGCCTGCCTGGTTAGTGTGGAACAGGCCTGGTCAGGTCCCTCCGGGAAACCATCTCAGTCTCTTGGTGAGAATCCTGTGTCGTCTGCATCAGGGGTCATCTGCTGGGTCTTGGACATTGATACTCCTGCAATAAACTCCTCTTGAAACCTGTGACTACATTGCCTGCTTCTCTAACCCAGGATAGGCTGGCATGTCATGGGCACGTTTTTTACTAGCAGAATCCTTCATATTGGTGCCTGGATCTGTGATTCCATCGGTATAGGGAGATCCCAGGGAGGAGACTTCCTCTTCAGTGCTGATCAGCCACCTAGGAGCCTCCAGAGTTGTCTGAGGGCAGCAAGAAGTGATAGGCCCAGGGTCACTCCAGCCAGGGCGTAGCAGAGGCCCAGGCTGCCCCTCCATTGAATTTTTAGAATTGGAAAACCAAAAAAGGCCTTTCTGTGCAAGTCTGTGAGGTGGTAGTTGGTCGTGCCCGTTCTCACCATGTGGCTCAGTGTCAGAGACTTGAACTCTGCTCTCCCAGGCTGGATGGTAGAGCTCCAAGGTCCACCAGGCCCGCCCTTTATATTCATGGTCACAGCACATAACTCATGTCTGCTCTTGAATCTTTCTGTTTCAGCATCAATTTAGCACCTAGAATGGGCCACCTCACAGAGGCCAATGTTCTTTGGAACTTCTTGGCAAAGGTAGAGGGACAGAGGAGGCGAAGGGAGGGGAAGAAAGTTTTAATTTGCAGCAGGAAAGGCAAAGTCCCCAGGGAGAGAGCTAGAGGCTTGGGGCCAGGGCGTGAACAGTCAGTACAGAAGAAAGGTATAGGGGCAGCTAGGTGGTGCAGTGGATAGAGCACCGGCCCTGGAGTCAGGAGGACTGGAGTTCAAATCTGGCCTCAGACACATAACACTTAAGATGTGTGACCCTGGGCAAGTCACTTAACCCCAACTGCCTCATCAAAAAAAGGGGGGTGGGGAGGCACACATCATTGTCTAAAGTCAGGGTCTAAGGCCGATCAGTTTTCCTGGAAGACCAGGGTGACCTACAGAGACTTCTCCCAACTCTCCACCTCTAACCCTCTTGTGGGCTTCCTGGAGGTGCCAGCCATAGCTTGAAGGCTATGACCTTAAAGAAAACAAGCCTCGGAGTTGGCCTTGATCTTCTGCTCTGCCTCTTGCCCCCAACCCCCTTCTCTTCACTTGGGGCACCACCGGCCCTTGCCTGGACTCCCATCCATGCATCATGGCTTCATCTTCTGACCTGCTCTGGTCTCTTTCTGGACACTGTCATCCCTGTCATTTTCCTGCCCCGAAACTCGTCTGCCTATTGTCTCCAGGAGAAAATGACCATCTCTCTCCAGTGGCCCCAGCTTGCCCTTCTGAGCTGCCGCCTTTCGCTGGGCTCCAGCGCCAAGGCTACATGCCACCCCCTGTCTCCAGACCTCCTGTGTCCCAGGCCTGGGATGTGCACCTTCCTGACCTCCACCTCTCAGAATGCCTGAACCCCACTGTTATTTCTAATGCAACGCATTCTCCCATGTCACCAGCCTCTTCGTGGGGTCAAGTTTCCTCAGTCTAAATCCATCATGAGAGGCAGTGTGGTATAGGGACAGAGTGTAGTCTTGGGAGTCAGGAAAACCTGCGTTTAGATTCCACCTGAGACACTGGTCGCACGATACTGGGCACGTCATCTAACATCTCGGGGCCTCAGTGACCTCTGGGGTGCCTGCTATGCTCCTGTGATCTGTGCTGGGCTGGCACAGTGCTGAGGGCTCGCGAATGCCTGGTCAGGGCAGCTGAACAGGCTTTGTCTGGAGGTTCCTCAAACTTCCAGCATGGCATTGCCATCTTCTGCTTGGCCTAAGCATCACTGGCATCACTTTTGCCTCCCCTTCCCCCAGAGCATGGATCTCAGCTGCCTGCTGACATGGGGGCTGAGATGCAACCTTCCAGGGCCTCCAGCCTGGGCCCAGTCCTAAGGAGCCAGCTCTTCACTTACCCAGGGCTTCCTGACCTGGGCGGCCCCTCTGCCCCAGGCCTCCAGCTAATGGTTGGCTCACCTGCCTGACTGCCTGGGAGGTGGCTGGCCAGGCACCAACATTCACTACTTTTGTGACCTAGGACAAGTCACGGCCTCTAAGCTTCAGCTGCCTCCAGTGGACACAGTAACTCACAGGGCCCCTTTCAGCACCTGACCCCCTGGTACCCGACATCCCACAGCCACTCAAGGGAGGCCTTCTGAGTAGCTGTTCTCCACCCCGCCCAGCCAACCAGCCCTGCAGATGCCCGAGTGAGCTCTGGAGGATGGAGAACCGAACAGGCCGGCGAGGCGGCCCCCTGCTCCCCCTGTCCCTGGGCTGCAGAGTCACACAAGCTTGGGGGACATGAGTCTTTATTGGCACGGCTTGGGGGGGCTACAACACCAGGCCAGGGCCAACCTGTAGGTGGCAGTCATAGGGGGCCAAGGGGCAGTTTCTTTCAGCATTTCACAAACTGATGAGTGACCTCGTAGATTCCCACCGATTCCTGGGCTTTTTCATCGTAGTCTGTCCAGTCCTGGGAAAGGAGAGGAGCATGAGGCAGCGGGGACCCTCCAGGGCTTCTCTACCCCTTCTCCACAGCCTCACTCACAGTGGGTAGGCCTCGAATGTGAGGTCAGAGAACCTCCCTGCAAGGCCTCATGGGCAGGTTAACAGGGAATCCACCATCTGCTCAAAGCCCAGGTCCAGGCGGAGGGAGAAGGCGGCTCCTCAGAGAGCGGGCCCTGGGCCTACACCTTCCCGGCTGGGTGACCCGGAGTCAGTCCCTTCACACCCCTACTCCCCTCACCCAGGGTAACCACAGGAGTCAGGATTCTACAGTGCTCACAGGACCAGAGAGAACCGGGAAAAGCTATTGGGGGGGGAGGGGGTCCCTGCAATCATTCTCCACCGTTCTTTCATACCAGACACCCCCCTCCCCAAAGGGATAGGTGAGCCATCCCTGACAGAGTATGATGCACCCCTCTCCCATGGTCCACCTCTCTGCCAAGGGGCCACATCGTGTGAAACCACAATTCAATCCCCTCAAGCTTACAGCCCAGGAAACTTAGGCCTGGGGACCGTGCTCAGGTGGGGGGCGGAATGGGGACCAGACCCCAGCTCTCGTGGTGCCCAGCCTCATCCTCATTCTTCATGTGGCAGACTTGCCCAGCAGCAGCACCTCCCCCTCATGGAGGAGCCCTCCACACGCGGCATCGTCCCCGTGGACCATACCTTTTCAAGCAGATTGATGTCGCTGAAAGCTGTCCCGGTCTCTGTGCCCTCAGCAGCAAAGCCAGCCTGGGTAGAGCCAGCAAACAGCTGGTGAGCTTGGGTCAGGGGCCTTAGGGACGTGGTCCTACTCACAGAGCCATACAGTATTTGAATGGGAAAACCAGAAGGAGCTCTAGAAACCATCTGGCTCGAGCCTGTGCTTTTACAGAGGGGGAAACTGAGGCCAGAATTGTCCCTAGCCCCGAGGTCACCCACTGCACCTCCCTGCCTCTCAAATGTCCTCTGAGAACCTGGTGGTGCCCCTTCGGCTCCCAGCGTCCATTCAGCCTAGACCCAGAGGCCGGCCGTGGTCTTCTGTGTGCTTCTGTCTGTTCTAAATCAGCTCCGGCCTGAATCAGTTCTAAATGGCTAGACTTTTTATACTGGCCTGCTTTGTTCTGTAAATAGAGTCTTACTGTCACCTTCCTCCCTCCCTCCAATCACACACACCTTGAACCACCATGCACCCCTGCCCCCACCCCTGGGCTTCTGTCTGTGCCCCCAGCACCTAGTATAATGCCCTGCACACAGGAGGTGTCTGATAAATGCTGAATTCCACTTGTTGTCGTGAACAGGGGCTCTTTCCTTCTCCCTGTACGTGTTGGGGCTTTGTGGATGCTCTCTAGTTTGTCTGTACCCAGCTCTCTTCACAGTTCTGGGGGCTGTGCAAACACTGCTCCAGGAGGACAGTGACTGTGGGGGTGGGGCTGCAGTGCCTCCGGTCTCCCAGTGCCAGCACCCAGCAGCCAGAACGGGGTGGGGGGGGTGCACCACCTACCTGGGGCTGGAAGTCCACAGGCTCCAGGCCCCGACATTCAAACTCCACGATTGTCTTGAACTTCTCACTGTCTTCAGCCTGAGTGAGGGAGAGGTGGAGAGACAGGAGTCAGCCCTTTCTCAGCTGCCTGAGGTCGGCAAAGGATTGTCCCCCACCCTGGCCAGCAGGGCCACCTGTAGACAGTGACTCTCCCCCAAGGAAATCGGAATCACTGGGTCATGGGACTCGATGTGGATGGGACCAGAGAGGTGACCACCAGCCCCTTCCTGTTACAGATGAGGAAACTGTGACCCAGAGAGGGTGAGTGACATGTCTGAGGTCACACAGGCACGAAGTGGGATTTGCACCCAGACCACAGTTCCAGACTCGGGTCCGTTCTCCTCTCCTCTCCTCTAGCACCTCCTCCCTGTCCGCTCTTAGACAGTCCCATCCTCCCCCTGGGCCCAGTGAGGCCTGAAGCAGAATGAACACCTGCTTCTGGAGGCCTGGGGTCTACTGCTGACTGATCATTATCTCCACTTTGCAGGTGAGAAGTCTTAGGACTACGGAAAGGAATGAGCACACCACCCTCACAGGGTTCTGGGGCAGCTGCCCCCCCCAGCCCAGGGGCAGGGTCACACTCACATTATATGGCTTGATGCTGTTGCTCAGAATGTCTGAAAGGAGAAGAGAAGGTGAGGCCTCTGGCCCCTGACAGCAAATTACTGCTGGCTGCTGACACTGCCCCGGAACACGGGTCCAAGCCCCCCCAGGGCCCCTGCTGGCCTTGCTCTTCTCTGCCCGGGCAGCGCTGCCACATACCCTCTGGGCTCCTCCTCTCGGGCCCCAAGGGACACAGATTCCCCCCTCCTCTCCTTCTGGGATCAGCACAGATTATTAACAGGCAGAACCAGGCCTGGCTCCCCTCAGCCAGCACTGGAGTATCTCCCGATGTGCCCAATGTGCCAGGCTCTGTGCTGGGCACCGGGGCCATGAAGATAAAAGCAAATTCAACCCTGCCTTCCAGGGATGCCACAGATACTGCTCAGTCACACTAAGAGGGGAAGGGGCTTGTGCTCTAGGCTGGGGGTAGTCTCGCCAAAGCCCAGTGAG